TTTTAGGTCTGGAAATGCAGCACAGTCACCAGACGAAAATGATGCTGTTGTACGTTCCTGCAAAGCAGAGATACATTATATTTATACATTTCATACGTGTTATATCACATTCCTACAGTGACATACTTCTGGTTACATGTATATAAGCCAACTGTCATTGGGAGGTGGAGGGGATGGTGGTTGGCATGTCACCCAGGCTAGACACCTGACGAGCTGCAGACCACTGTTTGAGACCAACAAACAACAAAACTGATTGTTTTTTAGTGAAACATTGCTACATTTCCATCGGCTTTTTGTGCAGCGGCCTATCACTGTTTCCACTGGGCCACAAATAGGCCTATCGAGACATTGCTGCGTTTCCAGCCAGGATTGTGTGGGTATTTTAAGCCAAAACAATTTCCAGGTTTTTCCCTCACCATACCCAACTACAGCATTAGAAAAAGAAAAAGGCAACTGGTTGCTCGATATATACGAACATAGATCAAAATCTTGCGTCGGGTGCTCATGGAGAAGGGGAAACAACAGGAATCACAGGAAGGTAATCCAGGCACTCCTAAACAATATAGAAAACGAGGAAGGAAATATTAAAAAGCCTTTATTGTTGTGGCTAAATCATAAAAGCGCCAACATGTTATGACCACTGCAGGTCTTCGTCAGGGCTTTCAAACCTTCAAACCAAACATCACAGGTATGGCCTCGCCTGTAGTGGCAGGAACCAATCATAGGCCATCACACGACCTGTATAATGGCATGACAGGTGAAACAAATAGACAGTAATGAAACATGAGTGACATGAGGTAAGATAACAACATGTGAAGTCTATATCCTCATTGAGACCAGGATACTTTAAAGGATCCAGTTTAAGCTTCCCTTGATTGAGTTTCTGTATTCTGTTAGCCTCCCTGACCAAAGGTTTAATGAGCTCAATGAGCTCAATGCCCTCTATGCGTAAAAGGAAATCATTAGCATTCTGAAATTCACTGAAAGGTCTAGCCATGGGGCTGTTGCGATTGGCCCAATTACATTTAACGATACACTTGATTTGTTCAGCATGTGTACTGTATGCGATGACAAAAAGTGGACGAAACTGATGTGCAGACTTCTGCCTGGTGTTTTTTTGAAGAAGTGTATCATGCTCAAGCGACTTTGCTTAACAACAGCGTTGCTGAAATGCAAACTTTTAACGTATTCGGTACATAATAACGCACAAATATAATATATCCATGTTTTGCAGAAACGTACAATGCCAACATGACGGTGAAGATTCTAAGTCATCCAGGTCATGGTAATCTTAAGTGCCATATCTTAGGCAACTGGACTTGCTTGAGTTTCTTGAAGACATTTCGCCTCTCATCCAAGAGGTGTCTTTGGTTCTGAAGGACTGGTGCGGAGTCGCAGGCTTTAAACTCTGTGTGGGTGTGAACCCTTACAGAGTTGTTGGGGTCACATGTGAGTTGCCATCTTGTGTGTCATTAGGGTTAGATGGGTGAAGAATGGAGAATGGGTGTTAAGTCGTCAGTCGTTGGGATTCAAATCCACATACGGCTTTTCTTTGCTTCCATAGAAGACTCTTCTTGTTTAATCATCTGTAAAGGACTAAATCTCAAATTCTGAAGTGACTCAGTTTTAATATTATATTTATTCTGCAGGGATGTACACGGGGTACAATACACTGAGCATGGCTTTGGTCATGCCAGAGAATGGACATGTGGTAGCGTGTGAAATAGAAGAGACTTACATCGACATCGCCAAACCGTTTTTTAAAGAGGTGAGAAAATGTCTTGACTCATGTTGTCTCCACAAAATTAAAGAAGATATTGTTCATTAAACCTTTAATCTTAACTCAGTACAGGTTGCATTACACAGCCTGGCACTTATATAACACTTGAATGTGGCATTTTTGCAAGTTAATTAAGATTGATTGTTGCCTCTGTCGGAGCAAAATTGTGCAGCCGACAGCACACTGCACATCTACCTTCTGTCAGTGTGTCTTCACAAAATGTTGCAGGCAGGAGAGTAAAAAAGGTGTCTGCTCAGGAAACTGTGTCACATAAAGATGCAAAGCCAAGCAGTGAAATCAATTCCTGTTTTAGCCTTCTCTAACATTCTCTTTGAAAACAATTAAAGAGGAAGAACCACTTAAACCCCCTGCACAATTCTCACACAGTGTAACCGCTTCTCTAGGCTGGAGTTGAAAACAAGATAGATGTGCGTCATCAAATAGCCATGAAGACACTGAGTAAGTGCTTTTATAAATACCAGTCATGATTTCTGATAAAACTCAGTCATTTGTACATTTTAAACTTCATCTCTGTTTCATCAGGTGAGTTGATAGCGGCCGGGGAAACTGGAACATATGACTTTGTGTTCATCGATGCTGATAAATTCAACTATGACAGATACTATGAGACGTCCCTGCAGCTCATACGACCAGGGGGCATCATTGCGATTGACAATGTAAGCACACTTTACACAGGCAGGATCTGTCATGCTTTATATTAAGAGTTGTTCAGCTTGTTTTGAGTGTGAACAGAATGAAACAGCGCTGTTGTTTCTGTACCTGAAGGTGCTGTGGAGCGGTAAGGTTGTGAATCCTCTTCCCGGTGACCTCAACTCCCAGACTCTGGATCACCTCAATAAGAAGCTACACAAGGACGAGAGGATTGATCTGAGCATGCTCACTATAGGTGACGGGCTGTCCATTGTCATTAAACGCTAAAATTGCCAGTTAAAAAGCTACACTTTGTCTTAATGGTGCTTTAGTTTGGATAATAAATATAAATGCTGAGTAAAGTGCCTCCTGTGCTTTTTTTGTCACCTACACAGTTCAGCAGATTAAACATTGCAACTTCCTGTTTACTTCCTGTGTTTACTGTCTTCACGAGGACAGTGATCATAAAAGAGCTGTAAATAAAACAAATATACAGTTTCAATATCAAAATCAATCAATACCACGGAACTGCAGCTCAGGATCAGACAAACATTTAAAACAAAAATAGTGGTTTTCTTTGTTACAGAACATGAAACATGTCATTTTGTTTTCAGGCTGATGTGATCGGCTCTGTTTGTAGCTACATTACACTGTGACCACAACAGCTCACACATCAAAATAACAACATGATGCAAGTGGAAACTACATCTTCTAAAGATCCTTACAGTGAGATGAAGACATGGTGTTTATTTGTGTTCTTAAATTGTTTTTGTATACATGACAGAGTTTGAAGCAGTAAAACATTCTCCTTGAACTACACTGGGACTCGAGTGTGATATATTCTTGCTCTAGAACTAGCTGAAGGCAAGCAGGACTCCATCCATCCATTTTCATCCGCTTATCTGCAGTCGGGTTGTGGGGGCAGCAAGCCTCGTCCCAATTAAACGCCCAGTTACTAGCCCGGTGTGGCTACACATTTTGACAAATACACGCCTGTCTCAATTAGATGCCTGCTCTGGTTGCCAAACAGTTCTTTTTTTTGTAGTTGTAGAAGTTCTTCAGATGTATAAAATCAGGTTGTTGGCCACTTAATATTCTATGTCCATGCACTGTCTGTTGGAGCTAGATCAAATGAATTATTCATAATTGATATATTATCTGAAGCCTAAAATTAAATCAAATTGTTTTATTTGCACCCAGTGTGAACACAACATCGGGCACTGAACAGTTTTCCACCCACATTGTTCTAAGACATAAGTCTGACACAGAATCTTTTGTACTGAAGCTGCTGGTTGACAATGTTTACCACAATTTCCCATATCTGATCACAGTAGGTATTCATTGTCATTTCAGAGACCTTTATTCTGGTCAGGGAGGAAAAGCCTCTGAAGCAGCATTTTACATTAAGTATCTACACACTGTTTAGCCTGCTCCTGAAACCTGGCACCTCTTAGGCAGAATTTATACTACTGCGTCAAATTGACGCCGTACCTATGCCGTAAGCTTTGCATCGACGTAGAGCCTACGCTGTACCCTACGCCGCAGCCTGACGTGCACCTCCCCAGAAATGTAACTATGCATCGCTGTGATACAGACCTCCTGTCTATTTTTGTAAGCTGATTTAATTTCACAGAAAAGAAACAATCAATTGTGAAGACAATAAAGCCTCCACAAAATAGCATTTTAAGTCGTGTGTGTGATTTATCCTTTGGGGATTTATATTTCAGGATTTATCCTGTCTTTTATATGAGTAGAGGAAATCTCAGCTAGTCGCTAGGCTAAACAATGTAAAATGCCATAGGCTTGTGCTAATAACATTAGCATGTTGTATTTGTTTGGCAAACTTGTTGAGTATAAGACAGTTGTTTTGTCTGTGAACCTTGTGAGTTGTAATGAAGCCGAATTTTGTAATGTTACCTTTGCTAATTGTTGCTGTTGTACCTAGCTTCATATGAGTAGAGAAAAAGTCTGCTAGCCACTAGGCTAATTTATACAATGTAAAATACCATAGGCTTGTGCTAAAAATGTTAGCTTGTTGTATTTGTGGGGAAAATGTGTCCAGCATAAGACAAGTGCTTTGTCTGTGAATGCTGCGAGTTATAGTGAAGCTGATTTGTGTACTTGTGTTAGAAACTGTCGCTATTAAGCCATGTTTAATGTGTGTTTAATGTGTGCATTTCACAGAAACCTCCACTGCTGACTAGTGTTTTGGAGGTGTAACTGCAGAGTGACACAGACACACCACTGCACAAGTATAAATGCTCACAAAGGCTCTGCCGCACAAGTATAAATCCCCATTTAGCCTCGATATCAGGTGTGCAAAGTCATAAAGTGGGCCAGAGTGGACCCTTTGGCGGCCCGGTTCTAGCCCCCGAGCCCTATGTTTGACACTCCGGCTGTACAGAATGGGCATCTGGCGTTTAAATGACGTCATCTGCTAAAAGCAAATCGTGAAACACCGTGGACTGGTGTTATTGAAGTAACAACTTAACCACTCTGACACATAGGCTAATAATAATAATAATAATAATAATAATAATAATAATAATACACAGAGGGTTAACTGCATTGGGACCTGCATCTACAGTCAGCTCATCTACGTCACTGCTGTCTGCGACAAACCGTAGTGTAAGCTTTCATTGAACCATCAGCTGATGCTACACCTTTTCAGCACCGCGGACAGCTCCGTTCTGCAGACCGAGCAGATGGCGACGGCTATAAAAAGCCCGCATGGAGCATCTCTGCACCGGACATTCACCACCACCACAGCCTGAGCCACAGCATGGACACCAGATTCGTCTTCCCGCACAGAAACACTCCAGATGAGTATCTACAATACAAGCCCAAACGCTCCGCATTAGACACCAGCGTCGCGTCCACGGGCATGAATCTGACCAAGCCGCTATCTGGAAAGTTTAATGAGAAAGAACTGATGCATGGCTTGAATTATCGTCTCGCAGGATTCATAGAGAAGGTGCACCATCTGGAGTACCAGAACCAGCTGCTGGAGAAGGAGATAGGGCAGATCAGGGGCAAAGCGAAGCCCGCATCCTGTTTGGAGGAGGAGTATGGACCGGAGCTGAGGAAGCTGAGACAGCTGGTTCAAGACATCACTCATCAGAAGCACCAGATTGAAATCGAGCATCAGAATCTAGAGGAAGAGCTGTCCAAGCTGAGGGGACAGTATGATCAGGAGGCGCGGAGCAGATCGGACGCAGAGAGCAGGATTGTGGTCCTCAAGAAGGACATCAGTGACGCGTATCAGGCGAAACTGCAGTTGGACAAGAAAGCCCAAACCCTCGTGGATGAAATCCACTTCCTAAAGAGGAACCATGAAGCAGAGGTGTCAGAGATGTGTGACCACATCCAGGATGCGCAGGTGACTGTCAGGGCGCATGAATTTGGCAACCCAGGCGTCACTGCGGCACTTCGGGACATAAGGGCACAACTGGAAGGTCATACCGTCTCTGACGTCCAGCAGATGGGAGAAACTTTCCGATCTCAGTTTGCAAGATTAACGGAGGCAGCTGAGATCAAGAGAGAGGCGTTAAAAGCGACCCAGCAGGAGATCCAGGAGTACAGGAGGCGTCTGCAGGCCAAGAACATCGAGCTGGACTGCGCTAAAGGCACCAGGGAAGCGCTGGAGAAGCAACTCCATGACGTGGAGGATCGCCACAAGGAGGAAATGATTCATTACCAGGTGAGACAGTTTGTTTATCTGTTTATTTATTTATTGACCACTTTCCACGTGATATGCAGTAACATGTATTTTCTCCTCTCTTGCTCCAGAACACCATCAAAGAACTTGAGAATGAGCTCATAAATTGCAAATTTGACATGTCTGCATACCTGCGGGAATACCAGGACCTGTTAAATGTGAAAATGGCCTTGGACGTGGAGATAATGTCTTACAGGTAAGGCATACTGAATGCATTTACCTTAAATCCTTAATGTAAAATAGTTCAAGTGACAGCCAGTGGTGCTCCCAGAAATTGTTCAGGGGTGGCCAGATGGGGTGGCCAAGCAAACCAAAAGTCGTAACTGAATTTCAGGGATCAAGTAGGCTGTTTTAGTCCTCTGTATAGGTTAGCTGAAAACGATGTCAATATTTAGAGCTAAGGAATTGTGTACTGATATAATTTGGCGTTTTATTTTGGCTTGAATCGTGAACGACAACAAGTGTCAAACGTGCTAATGCATCGTTTCATCTTGTGTAGTGTGTCATAGTAGACAACAACCGACGACACGTCTGGAACATGTTTGTTCGTGACTTCTCCCCGTCACAGCCATCACTTTGACCAATAGGAACACAGAGCACTCTGCTGCCGTGGACAACTGTGCAGCAACATGTGCGTTTCTTCATAATGGAGGGTATAAAGGAATAAAATTAAAAGAAAATAGCAGAGGCTACCAACTCCATTTGAAACAGACTACCTTATCAATGGACCTTTATTTATTATTCCGTCTGTGTCTTTCTATTTTTACTTTTAATCTGCTTCTGTTTTCCCTGGTAAATTTAATGCATCATGCACAACACTTCCTGTATGTGTTTAAATTAAAAGCCCTTTATAATTTCAGTTGAGAGAATCCCTTCATTGTATAAACAGGCTTTTATTGTGAAACATTTGCAGGAACCTGATGTGGAGGATTCAGTGACTTGCAAAGTTTGCATGCAGTGCTTCAAATGTAGCTGCTGCCATCAGACGGCACTTTTTACGTTACTACAATAACATTTCGGTTGGCACATGAACAGACACAGTGACTGAAATAATAATAATAATGATAAAAAATAGGACACGACAAACAATATCAGGTACTGTATAGATATTATCATTCACCGTTACGACTCTACAGAATGAAGTTTTTGCTGCTGGAAATGTAAAACCACCCTGGATTAGAGTATTAGAACTTTTAAGTTGTTGGCTTGGTTCAGAAATCAATTTAAAGTCCAAAGTTGTGTTTACTGGGGATCGGTTGCAAATACCAAACGTATCCAAACGTGCATTTTCTGTTATTATTGTGGGTCTAATAACTGTCTGTGGAGTTGTTCTAAGACACTGAAAGATAACAAAGGCCTTGGAATTGAAAGAATGTGTTAATGCAATGGTGGAAATAGCATCTTATGAATGTATGCTTAGTGGAATAAATGGTGATCAGGAGAAAGGAGTATCCCCTTAGGAATGGTTATGGACTCATATCAAAACAGAATATACGTAAGCCTACATAATTATGATCTTGCTCTGTGACTATGTGACGCTGTTGAGTGATGTACGAGGACATACATATGTGCGACATGTTATTGTTTGTTAGTTTGTTTCCTTCTCTTTCCTTCCAGATTATTTGCTAATTTTTCTTTATGTACTGGAGTCCACCTCCATATTATAAGAAAATACGTGCCAAAATAATATATGTATGCCATTTATCAAGCCTTTCAAACCAATAAAAACTTAAATTATATACAAAAAAAAAAAAAAAAAGACAAGAATAACCCAATTACATCCCGAACGTTGTGAGAGATGACTGTGGATGATTGGTCGTGGACCATCGTGAAGTCTGTCAAGTCACAGTACGATTTTATGACTCAGACAAAACATTACAGAGAACAGACAAAAATGTCGTGTAGCGTGAACCCAGCATTAGACGATTCATAGTCTGAGTGGGCAGAAGTTCGCTGCATAGATCAGCCTCTCACTGGGTGGAACGAGCCACCCGCTGAAGTCCCGCCCTACCACCTCTGGTTGTGTAGCAGTTTTCAACCGTTTTCAACACGTCCTTTACTAACTTTTTCTGTGTTTGATCTTGCGGGGATGTAGCCATTTTTCTGCCATGGTTCGGGTCCTGTAGGCGATATATTTGTGGGCGTGTTACACCAAAACCTGTTTCCCCCCTGGCAATATTTTTGCAAGCGCACCGTTGCTGTGGCACCACCAAGAATGATTGTGATTGGTTGAAAGAAATACAAGCAGCCGGGGCGTTTTTTTCTTCAATCTTAAAGTGAGAGTCGGCCCAGCCAGACCTTTCTTTTCTTGAGAAAGGTCTGGTGAGCGAGACTAGGCGATTCATTGTCCTTAAACTGGGCTGGTTCCCCCAATTCCCACTGGTGCACTAGTCATAGTCATCATTATTATTACCATTGCATTTTAAAGTGACAAGCTCATTGAAAAACCTCAGTTTTCCATAATTTTCCTCGATAATCTTTATTCTTCATCATCTATTAAGAACACTGCATTTACGAATATTGCAGTTAAACAAAGTGAAGTGTCTACTGCAATCACGGCAATTACAATGGCACACTACTGTAAAAACAAAAACATCAATAATGTCCTAATAATTATAATAATAATATACTAAAATGGCAAAAAACAAATCTATTTAAAGACATAAAAAGTATCTAAATTCATCCATGTTACAACGTCTCCCCTTTTTCGCAGGAAACTCCTCTGTGGCGAGGAGGCTCGGCTCTCCACCATGTCAGAAACCCAAATCTCCCTGCCCTACATCTATCACCAGTCCCCCGTTTACACCCTGCCTTGCCTCAGCCGCCCGGGAGGCCCGCACAGACGAGCTGAGCCGCAGTACAAGTTCGTAGAGGAGATCATAACCGAGACCACGAGAGAAATTGAGATGTCAGAGTTTGAGGAGACGGGATCGGAGGAGACAGAGGTGGAAAAAGACGAGCAGGAGTGTACCAAAAGAGATAAAGGGGGCAGTGAGGAAGAGAGTGATAATAAAGACAGTCGAGAGGAGGAAGGTGAGCAGGTGTCTGATAGTGAGCCGAATCAAGTAGCATCAGCAGAAAATGTAGTGAATGGAGGTGACGATGGTGGAAAAGGTCAAGAAAGTAAAGAGGAGATTGAGGCAGTTGACGATGAAGGGGACAGTGGCATAGATAAAAATACCCAAAGTGAAGCTTTGTTAAGCGAGAGCCTTGATGAGGAAGGAAAGGAACATCAGAGAGTAGCTGAAAAAGAAGAGAAAGAAGCTGCAGAGACAGTGGTAACAGTTCAGAATGATCTATCTTCAAAGCCAGAGGTCCCTGCGGAGGATGAACCTCTGAAAAAATCTGATGATGGTAAAAAAGGAGATGCCTAGAAAGATAGTTTTATCCCAGCTCAAGCGAAGGAGCCCGTTGACGAGCCCTCAGCCCAGGTGTCCAAAGAATCAGACAAGCCTCGAGAGCTAAGCAGCGTTCAAGTGCAAGATAAGGTTACCATTTCAGAAACAGCTGAGACAACCGCAGATTTTACAGGAGAGCAAAAAAGCAATCTGTCCGCAGAGACGGGGCAGCTTTCAGAAGGGGCTCAAGTGTCTTCAAGTACAAACCCCAAGAGCGAGGCAAAGGAAAACAGTCATACAGAGTCAAAGGAAATCAGTAAATCTGAAGCCGCGAAAGGTGAGGATAAAGTAGCAGAAAGCGTTGAAGATGTCAGCAATAAAGGTCAAGATAAAGAGTCTTCTCTTAAATCTGACGTGACGAGTCTTCCTGACGTGCAGGATCAGAAGCCAAACAGTGGGGATGAAACCCAAACTGTCCAAACTGCGTTGCCAAGGGAGAAGACAGCTGTCAATGCAGAAATCAAAGAGTTGCATCAGGGGGCACCGGAAGGAAGCCAGGCTGAGAAATCAAAGCTGTCTGAAGTTTCAGAGAAAATAAAAGAACCTCAAGGTAAAACTGAGAAAGTGGAGAGCAGAAAGTTGGATAAATAAATGCACCAAAAGTCATAGGGAATAACTGCTGAGGTAGAGGAAGTGAGGATTAAACACATTTCCACCTTAAATCTATCAAGGCAGCAGTTGATAGGCGAATATCAGGGACAGTGAAGCTAAAATCGCTTAAAATGCAAATGCAAAAGGCACAAGCTGAGCCAAGCAAAAAAAGGGACGCTGTGACTCCTCTTCAGAATGGCTGTTTTAAAATGAGAGAGCATGATTCTTGTGTGTTTGACAGCTTCGCCTTTGAACTTTTCATGTGATGCATTCAAATATTTTGTCTCGCCGCTCAACTTATGTCATTATGAATGTAAAAGATTCAAAGCTACATTTGAAATTGTGTCTGCTTTGGTATGTACTGACAAATAAATGCAATGCCAAAATAAAACGTCCTCTGAGTATTTTACTGAAACTTTTATCTTTACGGACAATATCTTTTGACACATTGAGAGAGGGGTGGCAGGTTGATCTGAACCTGAAGATGCTGAATACACTCATCAATATGTGCTAGGCACAAGGTGGTACACAGACCTCCCAATCTCAAAGATTCACCCCTCAGTCAATGATTCTTGTAATAGATGTACAAGTTCACCTGCAACACTGGTGTATACATTCTGGTCTTGCCTGGGTCTCTCACTTTACTGGTTCTCCAATTTTGAAACCCTTTCCAAAATACTTGTAGGAATTTTTGAAAGGATTTGATCCAAATCCTTTTACGGCCATTTTTGGTATTCGGTGTGAAGACAATCATCTTCCTAAGGATCAAATTGCATTTCTTATGTCACTCTTTTAGCCAGAAGACTTATATTACTTGATTGGAAGCAGGCAACCCCCCCTTTTAAACACTGGGTCAGAGATACATCACAATTTTTGAAGCTAAAGAAGATATGGTTTGCTTTATGAAGACCTAAGGTGAGTTTTAGCAGTTTATAGCAACCTTTATGACATATCTGCTTGAACAGCTGTTGTAGGGTTGTAGTACTGTTGGTTCTTAACATCTGCTGTAGAATGTTTAAATCAACATTTCCTTTTCTTTTCTTTTTTTTCATAAGTGGGGACACATTATTTTTTTATACTGGATTTTATCTGACTGTTTGTTCCCAGAGGGGGAAAAAATCACTTACTGCAGGTTTGCTGCTTTGCCACTGGAGCCTTCATCTATCGGATGTTGAGAGCAAGTGCTAACGGTTGCTGTCTATCAGTATCAGAACACTGAATTAATAGCAATATTCATTATTTCACACAAAAGGGGCTATTCCGCAAAAGAGTGACAATAAACCAGTCTTTGGTACACAACATCCTGCCTGCACTCTGGGCAGCTACGACTTGGCCACTGCAACGAGAGTCAGGGGCACCATTCTTAGACGGACAGCTGATTTCCTCCGTTTCCTGTAACCTTGTAATGTTCAGTTTGTTACTGCACACAATCATGTTAGTGCCATTAGAGGACAAGACAAGTGACTCATAGTTGGGCATATAAAAAAATAGCGAGTCCATCTTAACCATGACTTTTATCATTCAAATGTATACATATAGAAAAGGGAGGTGATGTTCTTTTGGTCTCCTAACTCCCAATGAATCCGCTCATGACGGCTCATATTAATTGTAAGCTTGTTTATTGTACATGTCTCTTGACCACTTTGTGTCTAACTTCAGTTTTGCAGCTTTGTAAGAAAACATCTCAGCTGTGGTTTCCTTTATAGCTTCCATTTCCTTGTAGTCATGTCCTCTTGCAAGGTTTAAACCCTACCCGAGACACACCTGCCTACCCCACATATAAATACATAAAAAACTAAAAACAAAGGGGAGTTTGCAGTGAAATTATGCATCCAAAATATCACTTCAAACACTCCCATCACTCACAACACACAGTTGTGTGCTTCTATTATTTAGACAAACTGGATAGTCTGAACATACAGTATCACTAGCGTGTTTAAAAAGCTTGCAAGATTTTCTTTTGGCGTGCATAAATGTCAAATAACTTTGAAATCAACTGTACAACACAAAATGTTAAAATTGCAGACACATTTTATGAGTCTGCAAGTTAGTTACTGTAAACATGTCAGATAAGCTGATAAATGTAAAGCTGCATTCAAATTGAATTAGGGATGTGGTAAATGGTAAACTGGATATAACTTTAATGGACAAGAGCAGGATGGTAAAATTGGGAAAGGCCAACAGGTAACGGTAGACAAAACTGCTGACAAAGTTGAGATATCTTAAATTTTTGCCATGCTCCGCAATGGAATTTAAAACTGGATGTTATGTAGCTCCCTCACACGACGAGAAAACATGGGCGATCTCGACAACTACCAGATATTACTTGAAAAACTGACAGTCAGTGGAAACCAAAATCATCAACCCACTGAATGTAGATTCAAAATCACACCAACAAAGTGAAAAATTGAAATCACAGGCTGATCCAACTTGAACTGAATGTGAATTTTATCATGACAACTCATAATGAGTAGTGTGTATGGCCCCTGCCTGCCTGTATGCACTCCTGTCAACATCTGGGCATGCTCCTGATGAGTTAGCGGATGTTGTCCTGGGGAATCTCCTTCCAAGACCTGGATCAGTCTGTGGTGGTACTTGGTGGCGTCAGATGCACTGATACATTACATCCCATAGGTGCTCAACTGGATTTAGGTCAGAGGAACAAGAGGGCCAGTCCATGGCATCAACGCCTTCATCATCCAGGAACTGCCTACACTCTCTGGCCACATGAGGCCAGACATTGTCCTGCACCAGGAGGAACCCAGGGCCCTCTGCACCAGCATAATGTCTAACAGTCGCTCTGAGGATTTCATCACAGTACTTAACAGCAGTCAGGGTACCGTTGGCTATGACATGGAGGTCTGTGCTACCCTCCAAGGATATGCCTCTCCAGACCATCACTGACCCACCACCAAACCGGTCATGCTGGGTGATGTTACAGGCAGCATAACGTTCACCACACTGTCTCCAGTCTCTTTCACACCTGTCACATGTACATAGCCTGAACCTGCTCTTATTTGTGAAGAGAACAGGGCGCCAATTGCAGAACTGCCAATTCTGGTGTTCTCGTGAATGCCAGAGGAGCTGCACAATGCTGGGCTGTGAGCACAGGTCCCACTAGGGGACATCAGGCCCTCACGCCACCCTCATGGAGACCTCCAGCAGGCTACTGGCGTGCATGTTTCTGACCAGACTGTCAGAAACACGCACGCCAGTAGCCTGCTGGAGGTCATTTTGTAGGGCTCTGGCAGTGCTCCTCTTGTTCCTCCTCACACAAGGAGCAGATACTTGTCCTGCTGCCGGGTTGATGCCCTTCTACGGCCCTGTCCAGCTCTCCTGGTATCTCCTCTATGCTCTTGAGACTGTGCTGGGAGACACAGCACACCTTCTTGCAAGCACACATATGGATGTGCCATCCTGGAGGAGCTTGACTACCTGTGCAACCTGAGTGTACTGCAGGTACCACCTCATGCTACCAGTAGTGACACTAACAGAACACAAAACTAGAGAAGAATCAGTCAGGAAGGATCTTTCCATTGCACCTGCTGTCACTTTCATTTGCACCAAAGCAGATGAAACTGATTCACAATCACTTGTGCTTCCTAAATGGACACATAGATATCCCTGAAGTTTAACTAACTTGGTGTCAGACTGACGATTAAATGTTCCCTTAATTTTTTTGCACTTTTAAACAAATTTAGCATCACCATCAAAACATACCGTCATGCAGGTTTCATTTCACCTTTCTACCATTTTGTCATTTGTGCCGCCCACACAGTTTTCCATCTGCCTGATTGCATATAAAAGCAGCGTAATTCATAAATTCACATTTAACTATGACCCATCACATCTCACTCTGACACAGGTCTCTAAAGGGTTAAAATTACCTAAATAAGCTTGTTAATGAGTTGCTGTTAGTGGCATTCTTATATAACATATAAAAAATGCGTTTGTGGAGTTCAGAGACTTTATTGAAAATGTATACACACACACACACAAGGACCTCCAAGACTTCCTGTGGGCTTTGTCAGTGCCCAGCACAGGGAAGCACAAGTGCAACTTTGAGTTACACCTCTTCCAGACGATGATAGTTTGGCATTACTGTGAACATTAATAACGTGCCCCCAAAGTTGTCTGTTAGTACAGGATGAACAAAAACTAATTCTGCTTGGTCGGCCATGTGTACGGGTTTCTTTCAAACTTACAGACCGGACTTAAAGCAACCCAAAAACTGCCCAGTTTAAGGGAAGGTCACACATGCAGCTTCAACAGAACATCACAAACCCAGATGGCCGAGGCGAAATAAAACATCACAGAGCTTCAGTTTGTCCTCAAGTGCATAAACAGAAAGGGTGCAGCAGTATTTAAATAATAGCAGAAGAAGACTAGTGTACTTAACAAGGTTTGGAAATTAAAACTGTGTAGATGACAAAGGAATATCAGATAGTCGTGATTGTAAAATCAGAGAGAAGGTATGACGGCGCTCACCACACAAAGTCGTCAACTGATGTCGACCGTTTGGGGATTACCACAATAAAGCCACAGACTTGATGACAGGCAAAGGGATTGTATTGGATTTCATTATTATGGCAGTGCTGGACAGAAACAATGACATGATTTATAAATAAAATGCCACCAACTGTCTCTTGAATAGATGCGACTACAAAGTATAAAGCGACAAAAGGTAGAGTATACCAATGACAGAAGCACCAACTTGAAGTGGTACTCAACAAGTTAGAGTTTGTTGTCGTAGCCTTTGAACCGATCTCTCCAAAGATATCCCCTTGCTGGTTTGAGTTGGACATACACTTAAGGCCAGATTCTTCTGATATTCCCGAGTCCCTTGCAGTATGTTGAGAGCTTAGGCTTCCAGTTCCAAGCCCAGACCCAGCTTGTGGCCTCCTGCGTTGATGTTCTTGCCATCGACCAGGCCAGACAGGGTGAGTTTCACACCTGCACAGGCGAGAGGAACCAACGTTAGCCATTACAGGTGCAAAGTAAACGCAAAATTACTTTCCTAAAACATGGGTTGTGAAACTTCTGAGAATGAGGCTTGAAAGGAGAACACAGGCTGTTAAGTGTTGCTATAAATGAATGTATTCTAGGTCACTGAGAGTGCATTTGCTCAAAAATGAAGTGCTGTGTGCAAGGACTCCAGTGTGGCCTTGTGCGTACTAAAAATAGAGGCGTTTATCTAAGGAACTCGATCAATAAAACACTTTGGAAACATCCCTCAGCTGTCCATGAACCTGTTGGAATCCACCTTACCCGGTCTAAGAGTCTGGGTGTACCCGACACCAACAAGGCTATTGTTGTTCACTTTAGCCTGCGGAGAAAAACAAACATAAAAGTCAGTTAGTGACAGTTTAATTGTCAC